CTTCGCTCACACTCTCTGCCTTGTTGTTGAGTGTTGAGGTTAACAAAGCATCGCCACCTCTTCTTGTGTCTAATCAACTCTTAGCCACTGAGACCACTACTCTTTCTCCAATGAATCAATGTATATTCAAGGAACACACATCAGCATTGATATTACTATTCTTGAGGAACAACGAGACATTTAATCAGGTGCTCCAAGTGAAAAGCTAAACTTATCTGTGCTCCCATAGAGATTTACAGCCACAGAAACCCTGTGCTGGTGATGGTGTGACGTGAAGTTGGTTCCAACTCATAATGACCCTGTATAAGTTCTCCAATGCTGTAAATCTTTACGGGAGCAGAAAGCCTTATCTTTCTCCTGCAGAATTGCTGGTAGTTTCGAACTGCTGACGGTCCATATTTGTAATCTAAAGAAGTAGGAAACGTCAGGGGATAAGTTGAGGTTAGTAGCCCAACTCATAACCACTACGCTACCAGAGCTCCTTAAGGAAACCCTATACAGCATCGTTTTGAGTTGGAACTGACTTGATGGCATGCAGCAATAGCAGCAAACCAAAGATGCTCATCAATCAACAGAAAATAAATGGGGAAGGTTCTACTTTGAGAATTCAATCTGAAATAGGAAGAAATACATCTATATACTCTAGGCGCCAATGTCTTCAGTCTCCCCACTATCAATTCACTTCCAACCAGCAAAATTCAAGCAGTAGGTACATTTCTTTATTCTGATTACTAGTCTGCAGGGGCCTCCCACAGGTGACAGAACTATGCACAGCAGTCAGGCACCTCAGTGTGGTCTTCTGTGAACAGACGGGCTTTTTATAGCATCAGCTCATCAGGGCACCTGGATATTGATGCTGTTTTCTGTGCCTGGCCCAAACTAAATAGTGCAGCATTGTCCTTGTCTGGGTGGAAACTCCTGTGTCTGAGCTGTTCTATGCCTCCTTTCCTTATCCCTGTATTTTCTTCACTCAGAAAAAACAAACCGACAGCCAGTGAGTCAGTTCCAACTCCTAGCAATCCTGAAGGACAAGGTAGAACTGCTCCTTAGGGTTCCCGAGATTGCAAGAGCCTTACGGCAACAGACATCCTCATCTTTCTCCTTCAGAGTGAGTGGCTGGAAGGTTTGAACCACTGACCCTGAGGTTATTAGCCCAATGCTTAATCCACTGATCCGCCAGGGATCCTTGTCATTTGGGGCTAAGAATTACTAATGAGAACTTTGCCTTCTGACGCCCAGTCTCCCCAGCTCCAGGACCAGCCCTATATGCTAAGTATCACATAACAAGCAAATCATGGTACATATTTATAATCTAAGGAAGCAGGAAATGGCAGTGGATAACTATGCCACTGGTAGGCATACTGGGACATATCATGGCCAATGCCTATAGCAACAGAGACACCCGCCATTGGAAAGAGTGGCTTACAACTGCAAGTCTGAAACCAGGGCTGGCAAAGAATCTAAGGGCATTAACATGTTGTTGCTGTTACGTGCCATTGAGTCGATTCTAACTCATAGCTACCCTATATAGAGTTTCCTAGGAGCAGCTGGTAGATTTGAATGGCTGACCTTGTGGTTCAAACTGACACTGCAGTTGAGTGCTTATTTGACTGTGGCACACCAGGAATGAGAATCCAATGTTGAGGGTGAAGCACAGGGCTCCATAGGATAAGCATTGGACTGTGAACCACAAGGTCGGCAGTTGTAGTCCACCAGCTGCTCTGAGGGAGGAAGATGTGGCTTTCTGCTCCCACAAAGATTTAAAAGGCCTCAGAAACCCTGTGCAGGGTGGGTGTGAGTTGGAACCAAAGCAATGGCACTTAACAACAACAACAACAAGGTTGAGAGAAAAATAGAATATCTGTTGGCTTTTGGGAATGGTTAACTTTTTGGGGATAAGCACAGTAGCAGCTGTGGGAAAGGACTTGGAAAAAGTTTACAGGAGTCTGTTACTAGGACCTCCTGAGATTCCAGCTTGTTTGGATTCTGGAATTTCATTTTGTGAGGAAAAAAAAAAAAGACAGACCAAAAGTCCACGTGCAACATATTGTTAAGCGCCTTTGAATCAGTTCTGACTCACACTGATGCTCTGAGGTGTAGCTGGTGGGTTTGAATCACCAACCTTGAGGAGTAGTCCAGTGCTTATCTACAGCACCACACCAGGAGTCCAAGAACAACATGGGAAGGTGAAATGAATGAGCCTGCTTAAGTTCTAATGGATGTTTCTAAAGTTTGCATTATCTCAATAAACACATATCAGGAATCCAATAAAGCAGTTGCTGTTGAATTGATTTCCAACTCACAGACACCCTGTGTGTTTCAGAGTAGAACTGTACTCCATAGGGTTTTCAGTGGCATGATATTTTGGAAATAGATTGCCAGGACTTTCTGCATGGATTCCAACCACTAGTCTTTTGGAAAGTAGCCAAGTACTTCACCCAGGAGTTCCATAATAGGAGCAGCCTCTCTTCAACAGCATTTGTTGCTGTTAAATGCTGTGGAGTCAGTTCCTGAAAAGAGTTTCCATGGAACGGCTGGTGTATTTGAACTACAAACCTTGCAGTTAGCAGTCTGGTGTTTATTCTACAGTGTCACACAAAGGGTGATACTGCTATAAAATTGGCAAGATTAAGAAATCTAGCTGTTAAGATGTAGGAAGTACACAAAGGGCAAAGGGCAGCCACTAAATACTCGTACTAATTAGAAGGCAAAGACTGAGCCACCTGAAAGTGACATGAGCGCAAATTGTCATCTTAGCCAGGCCTCTTTTTGAGACCAAGAGGTGAGTGGGGCCATGGACAGTGGTTGCAGTATACAGACAGGACCCCTTCCAGAAATAATAATATACTATACTCCATGTTGTTGTTAGGTACCATTGACTCTGGTCAGACTTAAAACATAGGGTTTCTGAGGAATGGCTGGTGGGCTTGAATCATTGACCTTGTGGTTAGTAGTTCAGTGCTTATCCTACAGAACCACACCAAGGCTCCATTGTACCCCACTTGCTGTTAAGCGCCGTCAAGTAGGTTCTGACCCATAGCGACCCTGTGTAGGGTTTCCGAGGAGCAGCTGGTGAGCTTGAACCACTGACCTTGTAGTTCAAATGGCTTTACAGTCTGGCGCATTAACCCACAGCACCATAACAGGACTCCATTGTACCCCATAGGCACTCATATTTTGACAAATGTCATCAGACATACGTCTCTATTTTAAACTAAGGAAACCAATTTATTGTACATTCATTATGTGTATGGGCACTGTACACACATTATATTATTTATTCCCAGTAATTCCATAGGGTGGTGGTACAATGGTTAAATGCTCCCTGCTGATCGGAAGGCTGGCAGTTTGAGCTCACCAGTGGCTCCACAGAAGAGAGATGTAGTACTCTTGTTTCTCTACAGATTACAGACTTGGAAGGCCTATGGAGTAGTTCTAATCTTCCCTATAGGATGGTAATGAATCAGAGCTCACTTAATGGCAATGGGGTTAGTAACTCCATAGGCTAAGTAAGGCACCCTGGTGGCACAGTAGGTTAAGTTTTGGGCTGCTAACTGAAAGGTTGGTAGTTCAACCCCAACAGCTATTCTGCAGAAGAAAGATAAGGCGATTGGATTTCTTGAAAGATGTATAACCTTGGGAAACACTATAGGAGAATTCCACTCTGCCTCGAAAGGACAGGATCTTTGCTACTGCCTGACCTGTAAGGTCAAGGAAGAGTCTGTAACTGGGACGTTGAAACCAAGCAGAAGAAAGCAGGGTTTCTTATGGTGTTCCCCCATTTTGATAAAACAACATTTCATATTGTCATGGCTCACTAGGCAATTGGACTGAGCCAGGTAATCATGAAGCTGGATTTCTCACTTTCTTTTAAGAACGGCTTGTTGTTGTTTTAGTTATGTGCTGTGGAGTCATTTCCGACTCATAGCGATCCTGTACAGGGTTTTTGAGGCGGCAAATCTTTACGGGAGCAGGAAGCCTCCTCTTTCTCCAGTGGAACAACTGGGAGTTTCGAACTGCTGACCTTGCGGTTCTCAGCCCGATTCATAACCACTGCCTGATTCATAACCACTATGCTAGCAGAGCTCCTTAAGAACAGTTTAGGAAGAACTATATTAAACTACATTGAAAGAAAAAAAATCAATAATTTCCTAACAGAAAACAGAGGGAATGATCCACAGATATGATAGATATGATGGGTACAAGTATCTATGTAATAATTTATCATCCCATTTTTAGTTGTATACAACAGTGAAAAGGAGCACTGGTAGCGTAGTGGTTATGAATCAGGCTGCGAACCTTAAGGCCAGCAGTTCAAAACTACCAGCCGCTCCGCGGGAGAAAGATGAGACATTCTGCTCCGGTAAAGATTTACAGCCTCGAAAACCCTGTACAGGGTCGCTATGGGTCGGAACCGACTCAAAGGCAGTTAACAACAACAACAAAAACAACAACAGTGAAGCTCTAAATGGGGTAGATAGTTATTTATTTAATTTTGTGCCCATCCCTCCCCTCATTACACTGTAAAATCAGTATACAGTAAAGCCTGTGAAAGTTGGAACCTGTGTAAGATGAAAATTTGTCAGAGAAAGAAAACCCAAATCTTTTCCACTAGAACAAACAATAGCAAAGTGGTAAGACTGTACCCTGTCAAGGGTGGAAAACTTGTGAGATCCAGAAAAGCAAGACAGTCTTGTTGAGTTCTGGTTCTCGAAAGTTTGACTGCATCTAATACTTCTTTTATAAGCAAAAACTGAAACTGAATAAAGGACTTGATTATTTACTGATAAAAACATCTTTACCACAAACATTTGTAAAAGAGAATACCCTATTTCTGTGCACTGGCACAGAAAAAGGAGGAAAGAATGAGTCAGAGAATCCCAGATGCTATATTCTTCCCACCATACATAGATGTTCCAGTGGTGTTTCCAGAAATGTACTTTCTCAAGAATCTGGAAAAATACCCTTCCCTAAACCCCTTTCCCTGAAATGGTCTTTACCTTCCACAGGGGAGGTTTTCAGTCTACTGCAGATATTCTGTACGTCTCCATAGTGGTCATTAATCTGGTTCATTGCATCAGTGGAACGCAGCTCCATGAGTTTCCTCAGGTCCATTACTGTGCAGCCAAAATCCCCTTCACGGTTCTCAACCATTGAGTTGGCCACCAAGGCACGTTCTGATGGGTTCGTCATTTTTGCCTGCTGTTACCAAGCCCCTCAACCAGAGATGTGGAGTTTGCCTTCAAATGGTCAGAATCTCCTGCTCTCCTGACCCCACTTCCTATTTCTTGATTCTCTGGGGGGCCAATTAGGAATCAGACTGGCTATATTTTGCACAATAAGCTTCAAAGTAGCAGTTCCAAGCCCAGATCCTTTCTTGTGTATGAAGTCTGGCAGCAGGAGGAGGAAGAGGATGGGGGAAGGGAGTGGAAACCGGACCACGTGTCACGATGATTGGCGTCCCCAGGTGGTGATGGAAGTGGTTGTCCAGGGTAGGTAGGTTCCTAGTTCAGACTGCTTAGGCCAAGTTGAGGTGCAAACAGGATATGCATGTTACCATGGAGGCAATCTTAGCAACAACCAGCAACTGTGGTGGTAGCGAGGCAGCAGGAGAAGGAGGAGGTAGAGGAGGGTTCCCTGGATACCGATGACAACTGGATCTCTGGAAAAATGATTCAAATAGACAAAAAGAAACAATTAGAACAGCCGTGGGGACACAGATATGCAAGGACAAGAAGTACCCATTATAACACAAGTGTTTAAATGACAGTTGATGTCTGATCTGAACTGGTAGCTGAGGCCTGAGCTGAGTGAACAGGCTCAGGAAGGGCCCTTTCTGCCCTGGGAGGCCCCAGCAGCCTATAAACCCCAATGTAGAGATGTACTCTTAGATACACGCCAATCTTCATGTTTCACTTCTCCCAAACCAAGAAACACAAATCCCACAAGTAGGGGGACTTGGAAATAAAAGGTTACACTTTCTAATGTTCTATTTGAGAGACTTTCTAATGATGACAAGCAACACAGAGCCCTATGGTCTGATCTTCTAAGAGATGAGAAGAGATCAGAAAAGAAATCTAGATTCCTAAGAAAGTAGGAGGGTGGCCTGGTGGGGCTGCCAGTCTCCCCAGATCCCAACAGCCTCCCCCCTCCCAACACATACATTTGCAAATCAGAAGGAGAAGTGACAGATGTGAGTGAAAATCACTGGTGTGGTCCCGCATACTCTGCCTCCAGCTGTATGGTGATTCTGAGGCCTGCTGCTGCTGCTGTTGTCAATAGGTGAAGGACTAAATTTAGGTTTTGGGTTAACTAAGGCCCGCCCCTTTCCAAAAGAGTGAGGAGGGAAAGTAAAAATGTGCTGGCAGTTGGAGATACAGGGTGGGTCCTTTTAAAAAAAATAATAAAAGAGCAGACCTCTGAGGAGGAAAGATAGTGAGTTTGAAGCTTATAAGTGTTTAAGGTTCTCTGGGGAGGCAGGGATAAGACCCAGAGACAGCCCAGGGCCCCAGTAAGGCAAGCAGGGGGACAAATCAGCCTGCTTGTGAATGAGAACCAGAGGGTGTCAGATCAGCACAATAAATTTACCTGAGAGGCAACCATTTCTTCCCTCAGAGGGAGGGTGTTGTTACTGTTCACATATGCTGAGTAAGGGCACATGGTGCTGTGTGTAGGTGAGGATGCAGATGGCTCAAGGTGGGGGGAAAGACTTATACAGACCCCTGCTCTCAGCTTCAGAGTGGAGCCGTGTGTCCTACAGGATCCATGGCCACACAGCAGCCATTTAAATATGATGGGACTCTTCCTGCCTGCAGAAAGCCCACGCAGTTCCCAGGAGTGGGGTAGTAAGAAACTCTGTTCAGCTTCTCCCTACTAAACAGAGGACTTCCTCATTTCTGGTGTGGCACTGTAGGATCAGCAGTGGACTGCGAACCACAAGGTTAGCTGTTCAAACCCACCAGCTGCTCCTCGGAAACTCTCTACAGGGTCGCTATGAGTCAGAACCAACTTGACGTCTCCTAACAACAACAACATCCTCACTACGAGAAGGTGAATGATCGAATAAGAACTTGACTCTTTTGTCAATTACTTTTCTAAATATCCTAAGTGGCTAAAGTTCCTGCGGATTCCAATTAATCCTGTTCCACTGGGATGGAAGTTACACCTCTCCCTTTTCCAGAGTACTCTCTGCCTCCTACCATAGAGTTTTAGCACTACTCCAGGTTACAAAGGATTATGCAAGCCGAGTTTTTTTTTTTTTTTTTTTTCTCTCTCTCTCTCCCTGGCCTTCCTCCCTTATCCTCCTCTTTCTTTTTCTTTCTTTCCTTTTTTTTTGGGTAGCATTATTCTTGTAGTTGTTATGTTCCGTGGAGTCAGTTCCGACTCACAGCGACCCTGTACATGTTCTCCCGAGGCTATAATATAAATCTTTACTGGAGCAGAAAGCCTCATCTTTCTCCGGCGGAACAGCTGGTAGTTTCAAACTGCTGACCCTGAGGTTAGCAGCCTGATTCATAACCACTACGCTATCAGAGCTCCTTTGTAGCATTATACTACACCCTTTCTTTAAGATTCCATCAGAGAATCCCAGGAACAAAGAGGTCTGAAGAGCCTGAGGCAGTGTGTCAAATTTCCTTCAGACTGTCAAAGGAATAGGCAGTCTGAAGAGTTTTCTCCCCATTTCTGCGTCTCTTCCAAGTCTTGAAGGAATAATTGATTAATGGTGATTATGCGTTGTGGAGTTGGTCCCAACTCATGGTGACCCTGCATAGGGTTTCCGAGGCTGTAAATCTTTATGAGAGCAGAAAGCTTCATCTTTCTCCCACGGAATGGCTGGTAGTTTTGAACTGTTGACCTTGAGGTTAGCAGCCTGACTCGTAACTAAGAGGGGCTAAAGTAACAAGAAGCCCATGTTGACCCTCAAGTAGAACTCCTTAACCTTTCAAGAGGATGCTGAGACCAGTGTTGATAGAGTGCTAAAATAATAATGAGAAGATTTTGCTTTTGCTGTATCCACTCACTATAATGTTCACTCCATGGAGGTAGGGCTTTTTATTTGCTTTGTTCACTGCTTTACCAGCTATGATGGTTAAGGTTGTGTGTCAGTTTGGTTGCCATGATTCTTAGTCTAAAGTAATCATCCCCCTGATGTTATCTGCCAGTCAGCTGTAAGGGGAGTTTTCTCAGAGGCGTGGCTTGTATCCAATATATTTGTATGGATGTCCTGGCAAAGCTTGCTAGCCGTACTCTGGCCATCTGATTTGTCAGTCAGTGAAATCTGGGAGCCAGCAGTCTTACCTGCTTACTCTTGGGTTCACCAATCCCTGCAGCTATGTGAGTCAGAAGAAGCTTCCAGCCAGACCCCTGCTCACAGACTTGGGATTGCCAGTGTTTACAACCATGTGAGCCATTTCCTTAGGATAAATCTCTCTTTCTAAACACCTCATTGATTTTGCTTCTCTAGAAAACAAAGCCTAAGATACAGTGAGATACACTCCTAGCACAGCAAGTGGTAGAATTAAGGGCTAGGGGACTCCCCAGAGCATGCTGTACCTCACTGCCCTGTGGCTCTTCTAAATCAGATGCCTCCCACAATTAGAGGCCATCACTTGCTTCCTATTGTCCATTCATTCACTTACTTAGCACTTACCATATGCCAGGGGCTTGACTGGGTGCTTGATGAGGACAGAGTGAGCAACATAGACATAGATTTTGTTCATGGAGCATTTGTATTTTTAACAACGAGTAAAAATAAATTATGAAATGCATTTGATAAAGATACCATATTAGCATTAAATAGGTACCTCTAACCTAGTCTAAGGAGTCCTGATGTGGCGCTGTGGGTTAATGCTCCAGACTGCAAAACCATTTGAACTGCAAGCTTGGCGGTTCAAACTCAGCAGCTGCTCCTTGGAAATCCTATACAGGGTCACTATGGGTCGGAATTGACTCGACGGCACTTGACAACAACAACAACCTAGTCTAAGGAGCTCTGGTAGCATAGTAGTTTCGAATTGGGCTTTGAACTGCAAGGTCAGCAGTTCGAAACTACCAGCTGTTCCATGGGAGAAAGATGAGGCTTTCTGCTCCCGTAAAGATTTACAGCTTCGGAAACCCTGTACAGTGTTGAAATGAGTCGGAATCGACTCCATGGCACATAACCACCAACCAACCTATTCTAGGTGCATGTAACCTAGAAGTCCTGCTGTGGCACTGCAGGATAAGCACAGGATCACACAAGGTCAGTTTGAACTGCAAGGATGGTGGTTCAAACTCATCAGCCACTCCTAGGAAACCCTATACAGGGTTGCTATAAGTTGGAACTGACTTGACAGCACTTAACAATAATAACTTAGTCTAAGAAAGGAGCCCTGCTGTGGACAAGCACTGGACTGCTAATCACAAGGTTGGCAGTTCAAACCCATCAGCCTTTCCACAGAAACCCTATATAGTTGAAACCAAGTCAATGGCACTTAACACCAACCAACAACCCTGTCTAAAAGACCAAAGGAAACAGAGTCTAATCTCCTGTTTTTACTAATTCCAAGAGACGCAAAATGTCACTGTGGTCCACTCTTCAGAGTGAAGGCATATGGAGATTGTGTCATTAATGGAGTCGTAGTTCAGGTCCAGTGGGTCTAAGAACCCATCTTGTAGTGGTTTCCCTAGTTCATAATTGGAATAGAGACACTCAGCAACTGTTAGTACCCTCATTTTGGATCCATGATAAATGGAATAGGTAGGAAAAGCCAAGTGAAACTATTAAAACTGCCCCTCTCTAGAAAAATAGTAAGCAAAGGACTATTGTACTGCTAGACGGATAGCAGAGGTTACTGTTATCATTGAGGACTTGAAGGATGCAGGGGGTGGTGCTTCCCACAACATTCCCATTCAACTTGCCTCTTTGGCATGTAAGAAAACCAGATGGATCTTGAACGATGTGGATTGTTGTAAACTTAACCAGGTAGTGATGCCAATTGCAGATGCTGTCCCAGATGCAGTTCAATTGCTTGAGCAGATTAATACATCCCCTGATATGCAGCTATTGACTTGGTCAATGCCCTTTTCTCCATGCCTGTTCTGAAGGCTCACCTGAAGAAGTTTGCTTTCAGTTGTCTAGGCCAGCAATACACCTTCACTGTCGTACTTCAGAAGTATATCAACTCCACAGCCTGGTCTCATAGCTTAGTCTGCAAGGACCCTGATCATTTTTCTGTTGCATGAAACATCACAATGATGACTCCTTCCTCTTAAGGAAGAAGCATCTTATTAGTTAAGACATTGTATGCTTGTTGCTGTTAATTGCTAGCGAGTCGGTTCCGACCCATAGTGACCCTGTGTAGGGTTTCTGAGGAGCAGCTTTGCAGTTCAAACTGACTTCACAGTCCAGTGCATTAACCCACAGTACCACATTGATCTGACAAAAATTCAGGCACCTTCTACCTCAGTGAAATTTGTAGTGGTCCAGTAGTGTGTTGAGATATTCTTTCTAAAGTGAAGGATATGTTATTGCATTTGATCCTGTTTGTAACTAAAAAAAAGGGTGCTGGTGGTATAGTATGTTACATATGTGTTGAGCTGGTAA